TGGCAATAAACGTCTGGAGTGATGGTCCTTCCATAATAGACCATGCCTTTCATATTCCAGCAGACACAAAACAAAGATTTATGTGAACAGAATCCAAGTTTTGATATTGGCTTCTCATGTTGTAACAATCACTGTCACTTTTTTTGTTTTCTTCATTGACTTCTGTTGACATGCAAAACACATTTTTCATTACTGGTCACAATGCAATGTAAAAATAAAAGGTTAATGTTCCTGGCGAGAAGACTGTTGCAGATGGCAGAGCACTGAGTTTGAGTCTCAAACAAGAGCCCATGAGGAACTCAAATTAGTCTCTTTGCAAGTTTTTTTTTTTTTTTCTTAATCAAGCTCACCCCAAAAGGCAGTAACGCCACTAAGACAAAGGGGTTACTGGGCAAGGAAGAATTAGAAAACAGAAATATTACCCAGGAGTGAGAACAATAGAAGAGTAATCAAGAGTACAGTAGATAGCAACTGGCCTTGCATTTCATCTTTTTAAAGATTAAAGTTGGCTGGAAAGCATTGAGCTGGAAAGGATTTCCACAAGCGAGAAATGAGAGAAAAGAAACTGTTAGCATAGAATTTACTGTTGCATTTAACCAACTCAACTATAAATTGATGAGATCTCATTGCCAGTCTAGTACTCTGCTTAAATTCAAATAATCTAGGTAGAATAACGAAGAGCTCATCCAAACAATTGCCATGTATTTGTAGAAAAGGCACAGGGAGGCAACTTTATGGCAATGGGAAAGTGACTAAAGCCGAGGCACAAGATCAGGACCAATAATATTCCTGATTCTCCTTTGAATTTTATCAAGGATTTCTAAATACATAGCAATAGCACCAGACCATATTGTAGCATACATACCAAATATAGCATTGGGTCAATTCACTAAATGTAGATTAAAGAGAAGGAAGTTCTTTCCCCTTGACTGTAGATTGATTGTAATCAACCGTTTGAAGAAAGTTCTCTTGTGAGATAAATGTTCCGAAATAATTGTTAGAACAAAGTTTGCATGTGAAGAATGAATAACACCAAGAATACAATTGCTTGAAATGTGTTGTGAATAAACTGGTTTGAATCAATAAAGTTCTGATTGATTGTGCTTGGCAAAAGTTACAGAGAGAAAATGTAAGTTTGAAGTTATAAAATTCTGTGTCTGTGTGTGTGTTAGAGTATGATGAGCAAGATCGTGGATTTGTGTTGACGGCTTGGATCTTACTGGCAACTTGTGAAAAGTCTCCCTATTTAAAGAAAAGAGGTAGGCTCCCACGGAACCGCAGGAAAACTTGATCTTACATTAAAAATGTGTGATTGGTTAAAAATTAACCAATCACTACACATCTACTAAACAGAATAGGTAAGTATGCTCAGAACCAAAAGATTCAAAGGAACAACTGTGATGGTTAAATTGTCCTATACAAAGGTAGTAGTAATATATTAACCAATCACAGGTGAATAAAATGACTTGGAGTGTATGTGGGTGTGGAAAACATAGCAACTGCTATAATATGTTGCAGCAATATTCTAAACATGGAAAAATAGTAGACTTATAGATATGTAAGATAGGTTCTGGAGAGAAAAATTGTTTGGCATGACACAGTGAACCAACTTTCTTAGCAGCTGACCTAGAAATGGATTTAATATAGTCTTTTCACTTCATGTCAGCTGAGAATGTTAGCCCAAGAAGGTGCAATGAGTCACTCTCCTGGAGGTTAGCATCAGTCATCCTGATGGAAGGCAGAAAGGTGTCTCTCAGATGATTAATAGAGAGCATCTTAGTTTGGGAGGTGTTAAAATTAACAAGCCATACTTTGCCCCAGTTAACAACAGACCAAAGGTCGTTTTGACCTTATCAAACTGATCAGATTTACTATCAAGAAAGAAGTAAATGGTTGTGTCATCAGTATAGATACCAAATTCAGAGCTGATACTATTGGAAAATCATTAATGAAAATCAAAAACAAAGAAAACCCAAGGATAGAGCATTGGGGGACATCTGCATTAGTACAAAAGGATCTGGAAGAATGGCAGTTCAGGATAACTTTCATTTAGCAATTTGATAAGAAAGACTGGATCAGTTCAAAAATTTGTTTGGTGAAACCGCAACTTTTCAACTTGTGAAGAAAACCCACATGCCAAAACTTGTTGAAAGCTTTTGAGCTAGCCAAAGCTACAGCCCGAGCTACCCCATTCTTATCTAGAGCTTGATAGACTCTTTCCATGATTATCGTCAGTATATCAGCAGTTGACCTGGGAAAATGAAAGCCATATTGCTTGCCAGAAAAAAAAGGGCCTGCAATGTGAGATGCTAAACCAAATTAGCATTGATTAGGGCCTCTACTAATTTCCCCAAAAGTGCTAGAAATCTAACATGATTGGGAGTTTTTAACATGACCAATATGTTCAAACATTCAGTCACAAAGATTTGTGACTTTGTGCTAGCATAATCTTATTGCTGATAAAGAAACAACAGTACAACGGTAACTGCGGTAACACAATTGCAATCAGACACTCTATAGAAATAGTTTTGGTTGTTGGTTTAGTCATAGACCTTCCATTTATCAATTGATTTTTTTGTAAGTAGTACAAATCCTTTTTTTTTTATGATCATCTCGATTCCAATTCATTCCATCCTGCAAGTTATGAGAAGTGCCAATATTTGTGATCATTCAATGAGTCAGCATTTGCCTGATCAAAACATCCAAACTCAGAAACACTTATCAACAGACAGAAAGCAGAGTGATTTGACATTGAGCCAATAAAAAGAGGAGTTTTTTTTTCAGCTCAAACAAGTATTGAAAACTGTTCCACTATGATGATGCGAAAAAAAAAAAAAAAAAAAAAAACAGAAAAGAAGCAGTTCAGGACAACACTGAAGGACTACCAGATGTAACATACATGCGATAAGATACCTACTGACTGAAATAGTGTCATAAAAGCAACTTTGTCTGCCTATATCTCTGAACACATGGCCCAGTGGATAAAGACGTTGGTTAGATCCAGTGACTAGACCCAAAGAGTTATGAGTTCAATACCAGGCCACAGCAGTGGTGCACAAAAACTTGGAGAGTTGAATTAAAGGGAAATAACTGAGACATCTGGAAGAGGTATGGCATGTGGAACTAGAACAATTTATCCCCAGTGGATGAAATAAAAGATTCAGTTCGAAATTTCAATCACCTGAAGAAGGCCGGAGTATACAAGGGCTGAAACGTAGTGAATATGGAAGGAAGATAAAGATAAGAGTCCGAATAATGTAAATAATGCAAGTAAGCAAACTAATATTAGTCCAAACTGAAGGGAAAAATTACTCCATTTGCAAACTCAAGACTACATGACCGGTAAGTATCCAGCCATTTTTAATACTAAGGTTCATCCAGTACAAGACTCAAGAGCCACACAAGTTAGAGGATTACTGAATGAGGTTTATCAGAGGAGGAAGTAGGATGATTATGAGGATATGGAGGATAGATAATGACTGACATTTGACTTGAAGAGGTTAAGATTGTAGAGCTTAGGCAAGAATCCATGCATGATTCAGTTTTACTAAGAAGCAATTCTTGGAAAAAAACTGTTTGAGTGGGAGTTAATCCTTAAAATTGGAATATAGAGGAAATGATGGTAATTCAACTCTATGTTAGCAGCATGACGTGTCTTAGCTGTAAAGGTCTGAATTGAAATAAATGAAAGAGGTGGTGGTATAAAGTGAGGATAATGATTGACCCTTGATTTGAAGAGGTTAAGAATGTAATGTTCAGGGAAGAATACATGTGGGATTCAGTTTACACAAAGTAACAGTTCTTATGGAAAAAAAACTGTCTGAGTGGAAATTCCTCCTTACAACTGGAATATGGAGGAAATGGAGTTAAATCTGTGGATATAGCATATTGTGTTCTGGCTCTAAAAGTCTGAACTAGTGAAATTAAAGAATACCATTTGTGCAGTCTTGATGTTAATTGGGAACCAACCAAAAGACACTTTACTATATATGTGTGACAGGCATTCACATGTGGGAATACTTGATTGATAGCAAGTTACCACAGAGCTTATCTACTGTAGCACTGTTGCATTCACAATGGCTGAGAAAATAGATCAGCCAAGTATCAAGTAAACATCACATAGCTCATGTCTGTTTGCTCCTCCTACAGATCAAATTTGGCTCCTTCTCATTATCATTATTGAATGACAAAAGATTTCAGACCCTGGACGAGATTAAGGAGAATGTAATAAAGGAGCTGATGGTGATTCTAAAAGTGGATTTTGCAGATTGCTTTGGAAATTGGAAGGGATACTAGAACAAAGTATGGGTTCCCAATGAGACAAATTTGAATAGGACTAAGGTAACATTTTCCTAGGTAGGCTATTTTTTTTCAATTAAATAGCTGATTCATTTCTGGGACAGACCTTATATTAGTATTTGAATATATTGAGCAAGAAATAGATCAAGAGTAAGTGTCTACAGGTTCATTTATCATCTTTATAAAAACAACAAGAGATATTTTTGCAATTCAATGATGTGGGTATAAAAAAGCAGTTACCAAAAATTTCAGGATACATTTTTAGAGAATGAAAGAAAAAAAAATTTTCTAAATGAATGAATAAGTTTTATTTAGATCATTTTGTAATCAGTAAAATATGATTCATTTGTAAGATAAGATATGATACTGAAACAAAAAAAGTGACAATAAGAAACCAAATTTTGACTCAAGGAGTCAGTGGGTCTCGATTGATTTGTTTTTTATGGCTTATCAACTTTTTGCAGGTTATTTACAGCTAGTAAATTTCTTTGGATTGTAAGAATTTTTTTTTTAAGATCATTAGGATTTTTCTGGTGCAAATCCTACTATTTAACTCATAGCTGGGAGGGAAAAAAGGTGTATTCATACCATATTCAAGGTATTAAAGCACATGTGAATATAATGAACCTGACTGGAATTGGAACTTAACTCTCTGATTTCTCATTTCTAGCTGTTTTCCATTATACCAATGCACATCCAAGCTTACAGCACCTGGAATTCCCAAGTGGTCACCCATTTAAGTACTGACATTGCTTAACTTTGGTGATCAGACAAGAACTAGTGTTTCAGCACAATATAGCCTTAACAGCAGTGGCGTTAGAAACCCAGCATCTAAAATAAAGAATTCTCTGACATATTTTTTTTTTAAAATGTTACAAATTTTATTTTGGTTGAGAGTTTACCAGTTACATTTCAGTGGGGTTGTTTTTTTTTGTGGGGGGTAGGTATACCAAATCAAGATTATTATCAGAGAAATACTGTTAAAATGCTCTAACTTGAACAATAAAGTCCAATTAATAACTTAATAATAATAATAGTGTGGGGGTCTGCATTTAAACTCCCCCTTATTATATAATGATCTGATTCTTGCATATATGTTTGCAGCATGATTATGCTGAATAACTATTACAGTGACCAATCCAACTCTTTCTTGAATTTTATCTGTAAGCTAGAATGAAACATTTTATCCAAAAGATAAAACTACAATTTTGAATATACAGGGAGAGTCAAACTTATAAGTACCTTTATTCAAAACATATGAGACTTTAATTAAAATATATATGTACTTTTATAAAAACTATTTCTTTTATTCATAGCCTGACTATTCTTTTAGTTAAAACAAGATAAATTTACATTTTATAGAAAAGAAGAGAAAGAAGTATTTTATTCATAAGCACCCAAATGACCTTGTAAAAATGAAAAACAAAACTTTGAAGATAAATTTGTTGAAATGTAAGAACAATTGAAGGACATTTGAAATTACTTGGACACCTAATGAGGAAAGAGGTCTTGGAGAATTAGACATTCACTGGATATACTGAAGGCAAAGGAAGCAGTGAAAAACTGAATAAAAATTTTGTAAATAATTTATGCAATCATTCTTGTCTGAGTCTTGACTGAGTGAAGAATCATGAAACCCTGAGTCAACCTCTGATAAGTATTGTTTTGTTAAATATACTAAAAACAAGCTCTTTTTTAATATAATCTTATCCACACCCTTTGTTTTCTATGAGAATGATAGGCTGCAAATAAATTCAAGGTATCAGGTATTTTTAGGCCAACATTTCCTTGTATGATGTTATTTACTGTCTCGTTGAAAGCTAAGTGAGACAGGTACACTGTGATGAGGACAAAGTGGGTATGAGTAGCAGAATGATTATTCATCAGGAAGAGGGAGTGGAAAATTAAGGGGTATGGACAATGGTGGTGACTGGAGCCCAATGTTTAGGTAACATTCTTCCTTCTCATCCATCTTCAGAGAAGACAAAAGAAAAAAAAAAAGAAATAAATACAACTGATTATTCATTGTCAAGTCATTGGAGGCATGGCCTAACCTCTACTTTTGTAGTCACTGTCAACATTTGAGGAATGATTTTTTTGTTACCTGTACTATTTTAAACTGTTAAGGAATGCACAAAAGGAGTAATCTACAAAAGGAGTAGCCTGAATATTAACAGATCTCTTCAATGCCAGTCATGGCTCTCCATAGCTTCACATTCTTTGATATATAGAAACTGTATATTACAATGTTAAGACTTGTACAAAGGGAAGAGTATGGATGTTAATTGATCAACCAAATAAAAATAAAATGACAATAAATCAAGTTGCTCAGTTGGGAAGACAGTGGAGCTGACATAAAATGATTTTAACCTGTTCTCTTTCTTAATTGAAAATAACTCAAAGGGTTTTATGATAAATGGTGTCAAGATGGCTAAATGTCTTATCTAAAAATCTGGAAAAAAAGAAACTCAAGTAGTTTAGTGTTTTTTTTAGATATTAAACATTTTGTGGGGTGATGCTGTAACATGATTTGGACTATTTTGCTGTTACACCTGGTATATTTATATATATATATATATATATTGGTTAAACACACACACAGATATATATATATATATATATATATATATATATATATATATATTTATGCATACAAAATAATTAAAATGAATATAAAATTTGTATATTTGAATTTGAAAAATAACATTTTCAAATGTGTTCTTGATAATGACCAAGATATTTTGTTAGAAAGTATTCAAACAAAAATAGAAAAAAAAACCAAAAACATGAACTTTGGACAATTTCTCCACAATTTCGATTCAGATATTTGGAAAATTCAATGAAAAATTTAAACTGACAGACCATGTGAGTTGAATTTAATACAATTTATTTAAATAAGTTCTTTCTGCTTAAATATACACAGCCTGCTACTTCCATTTTCTGAGTACATCAGTCTATTAAGGAAGCAACCCAATCCGTGTCACAGATAGCTGCTCAGGCACATTTGTGTTTATTCAACACCCACGGAGGCCACCTGTGGTTTATACTGCAACTATGCTGAGCAGACCTTAATTACAGTTTATGGGAGAGAGCACATAATCTGGCATGATCAGCAGTCTGAACACTGCAAGTATACTCAAACCCTCTGTCGCGATGACTTGTGACTTTGTGCTAGCACAAACATCAAGATCTTCCAAACAGTACCATCTACCCAATTCTATTCACAAGGCTTGGGCCAACCTGTGGGGTGGGTTTTAGTACTTTCCATTCTGTTATTGCCTCCCCAAGCCGATAACATCAAGAGGCTACCTCTCTGACAAATTGACCATGGTAAGATTCAAACCCAGCTCTCATGGTTAGAAAGTGAACACTCTAATTCCTTGGCCATGTACCTATATATATATACACACACACACACACTATCATAGAAAGGATAATAAAAATTGTCAGATGGTTACACTTCCCAAAATCTGATCACATGACTAAACATCAGAAATTTTTTAATCATTTCTTAGATGGACCAAGCTTCCTCCATCATAAAAATAAAATAACACTATATACTTTGATAATTTGAATCCTATTTAATAATAATGTTCTTTATAAATAAACATAAACAATAATACAATTATTGTAGCAGGAAATAATGTATCAAGTATGAAGAACAAGGAAGTAATGTTTCAAATACTTCTAAAGACATGAACATTCCAACATCAAGTGTTCCATCAATCACTAAAACTAATGAAAACAAAGAATTTATAAAAGCTATAATTGATAACCTGTTTCTTACCACAATTGCTTTCTCTCTCTCTATATATATATATATGTGGGGGAAAGATATATGAGTAGAAAAAGTTTTTATGCAATGCATTACGTCCTTTAGGACTTCATCAGACTAAAGTTTGTTTCCACTGATGTGATTACACATCCGCATGAATGAGAGATGCTGGAACACAATAAATTTGCATCTAGCCAGATTCTTATGTCTCCCTATTCTTGACAGTATTATTAGCAGTGTGGAATATTTGATAACAAAAATGATGGAAATAAAAACAAAAAAAAAGAATCTAAATGAAATCAGCTTAATTATTTATATACCTAAAACACATCTAAAAATTTTTTTTTAAATTTTAAAATTTCCAGTGTCTTTCGTTCATGCATATGTGTAAACAAACTCAGTCCAATGTAATCCTAAAGAATGAAATGCATCACACAAAATCTTTTTCCACTTTCTTCCAAAATTGTTCTTGATATATAAAAATCTTTATATTGTTATCCCATATATATATATATATATACATATATATGTGTGTGTGTGTGTGTGAGTGTGTCGTTGTGTGTATATATATATATTAAAATAAATAGAAAGAACAATAAGATTTATAATCCGCTGTTCTTATTAATTTTTATATTTAAAAAACAGTGCTGAATACAATTCTGCAGAGCATAAATATTATAAATTTACTAATTTAAAAATCTGATCCCATCACTACACAGGAATTACCATGTTTTCACAAACAGAAACTAAAACTTCAAATTTAATTATAGAATTAAATTAAAATTTGTAATTGTTTTTCATATGCTTTGAATAACTTTCATTTTCAAGCACAATTTTGGAATAACTGATATTTTCAGTCATTTTGACAAGGTGGTATTGAATAACTATAGCAATAATATTAAGAATGTATGTGTTATAAAACTCAGTAAATTTCAAAATAAGTTATTCCAAAATTCATTTTTTGAAAATGAAACAGTATTAGGGATTTAATTTAATTCTATAATTAAATTTGAAGTTTTTAGTTTCTGTTTGTGAAACATGGTAATTCCTGTGTAGCGATTGGATCAGATTTTTAAATTAGTAAATTTATAATATATGTGTGTATATATATATATATATATATATATGGGAAGCACCCCTTCTTTTATGCATGAATATGAATTAAAAAATCAAGAATCTAGGCATCACAGACAAACAGCAGAAGTAGATGGAATCAATAAATAAACAATTCTATTCAGGTCCTACTGCCTTCCTATACAGTTAGTGATGGTCAGATAAAATAAGTTTAAATATTAAGTTAGAAATGTATTTCAAAAGTCAGATGCTGAGTTAATGAAATAAGGTATAATATATGCTGAAAAAAATTCTTTTAATATAAAAAGACAGAATGTATGAACATCAGCAGAAGAAAAAGTCTAAGAATTATGAATTGGAAATATAAACATGAAGCATGTGCAGAAGTTCAAATATCTGTGAAGTGTTTTGAAAGACGATGGAAAATGTGTCACCAAGATCCAAACACACATTGGGTTGACAAAAGATGCATTCCAAAATCTAAGAAAGGTACTGAGGAATGGAAAAATTTATTTAGAAACAAAGAAAAGATTGCTGGATTGCTATGTGATATCCATCCTTTTATGGCAGTGAAGGTTGGACAATCTCCTCATAGATGAGGAAAAAACTATAGGCAGCAGAAATCTGGTTCGACAGAAAGATAATGAAAATTCCATGCACGGATTGAGTAATCAACAAGGAAGTCTTAAAGAAAATGGCAACAGAAAGAACACTTCTACTCAGAATCAGTAGAAAATAGCTGAAATTCTTTTCTGACATAATTAGGAAGAAGGGCTTGAAAAACTTAACCTTTATCGGGCATACTGAGAGCAAGTGAAACAGAGGAAGGCATTGAACTTAACTTGATGATCTTGTATGAATGGATAGCACAATGGACAGTGCAGGAACCTTAGCAAATGGAGAAAAACTGCAAAAAAGCCACATTGGATAGAAAGTTGAGAA